CTGCTGCCCGCACGCTCCGTGATCCCGTCCTGTCATCTCAGTCGTTAGGACTTCCCACCCACTCCCTCCACCGCTGCAGCCCCTGCGCTGGCTCAGAGCCTCGGCCCATCTGCCCTGTTTGCCGTCAGTCTCCCACCTGCCTCCGTTTCTTCTGGCCTTTCTGCACACCCGTCCTCCACGCCTCTTTCAGAAGTCTTTATTCCTCCAAGAGCTCCGATCATCTCACTCCCTTCTGTGCAAGCACACGCTCCTTAGGTGCAGGAGATGGGTGCACAACATTGTGAGTGTGTGGGATGCTGCAGGGCCGTGCTTTAAACCGTTGTGACAGTGATGTTGCTGTGTGCGTTACACCAGTTTAAAGGCCGAGTCTAAAAAGCACATGCTCCCTCTGCTTCAGCCATAGGGCACTGTCTAGGCACTCACGAATATCCTTTTAGCCTCCTGTTTTTTAAAAAATTATTTATCTTTATTTATTTATTTAAATTTGACCGGGGGTGGTGAAGAGAGAGAAGGAGAGAGAAAATGACAAAGCAAGTCTGAGACTCAAACTGTGGCTGGCCATGTGGGATTCCAGCTCCCCTAACCACCACGCCACCTGCTGACCTCCCCCTTTTATCCTCTTATGGTGGGTTCGCACCACTCTCTCGTAGCCTGGATAGTTCCCCTCCTCCTTACTCCTCCTCACCTTCAGCTTGAGCTCGTTCTCTGCTTGTCAGTGCTGAGTGAGCTGTGGAGACTGACCTTCCCTGAAAGCCTCCTGGACGCTCGCCCACACCCCCGGCTGGGTCAGACGCCCGGCCGTGAATGGCAGTGGTGCTCCTTCCTCTTAGAGGTGACCACTGTGCTCTCTGGCCATTGATTTTCCCCTAAAAACACTTTTGTCTTAAACACATTTCCTGTTCTCCTTTTTACCTTGAAACAGGTGTCAACTCCTTCCAAGTCTACATGGCCTATAAAGATCTCTACCAAATGTCCGACAGCCAGGTAGGTCCTCCAGCCACCCTCGCTCCTCCCCTCCCTGGGTAGGCAGGGCCAGCTTTGTCACCGAGGCGGCACCGTGCAGTGGAGATTGCGAGAGCTGGCAGGGAAAGCTCCAAGTTCAGATCCTGGTTCTGGCACTGCATTGCTGCATGATCTTCAGTCATTGCACCTCCCTGAGCCTTCATTCCTGACTAGTAGGGTGAGGATCGCTGGCTGATGGGCCCCCAGATCTGCTCATCCTCAGCACCATCTGGAGAGAGCGCATTTAAATAAGGAGTTATAACTGTATTACTGACTCACCGGTGTCCGGCTTAGGAACTTGTACTGGAGGTCTCCGCAGTTAATCCTGGGGCCCGAGCAGCGTTAGAGAGCATCTTATTAACTCTGGCATAGCAAGAGAGCCTGGCTCTCCCTCAAACTGATCGCAAAATATTTGGCAAGTGACATCCTTTCTCAATTTTTTCATCGATAAGATGTAAAATGCCTGGCCCTACCAACTTCAATCATGTGGATGAAATGAGCTCTGCTGTTCCTAGGCATAGGGGTCACTCTTTATCAGACACCTGGCCTCCTTATACCACTAGGTCTCCTGGTTTGGTTTCATTATCACCTCCTCGTTCTCTGCTTATCAGTGCTATGGAGTAAGCTGGATGCTGGAGCCAGCCGCTCGGCTGTGAGCCATGGCTGTACCCGTGCAGCCTTGGCTGGCTTTCCCAAGCCTTCAGTGCCTTTGGTGCATGACAGCACCTGCATCCCAGATTCATTGGCGGCCTGGATGATCTAAATAAAGAGCTGTGATAGTGCCTGGCACTAAGCAGGTGCCGTGTGGGCGTCAGGGAGCTGCTGTTGGTCATTGCCATGGAGTTAGGTGGCAACGCGCTTGGAGAACACAGCTGACTTTCCCTGGAGAGGGAGCTTGGTGGCTTCGGTCCTCACCGGGGACAAATGCCTGACTGCACGTTGTTCTTCTGTAGGAGGAGGTCGTTGGGCAGTGGGCAGAGCCTTCTTGGCTACCTGAGATGATGCTTGGTGTGGTCTGTGTTACCTGAGCGGAAGTTACTGGAGAGCTTGCTTCCCCTACCCCAGCGTGGCCTGTAAAATGATGCGGGTTCAATTTTTTGTAACGATGTGCACGTCTGTAGCATAGGAGTGCCGCTGGACAGAAGTAGCAGATTTCCTTACACAGCAGGCGGGTCGAAGGAGTCAAGCTGAAAAGAACAGAAAAGACAGAGATGGAAGTTGTGATTGTGCCGTGGGGTGACATTGATCACTTCCGCCCCACACTCGGCCTCCTGCGTTTGGGTCTGGATGGTGTCAGCAATGAGGGATTCCTCCCAAGCCTGACCTGCAGAGCGGCACTTCCATCTGTGTGGCTAGAACTGCCATGTGGTGCTGGTGGGTGGGGGACTGGGTGAGTGGAAGAGCG